TGGAAATAGTCTTAGGCAAGAGTCCGGGAAAGGATTATGGATACATATGATCGATGTATGTCCTTCCTATTATCTGTTCAAGTTCGACTAGCAAGTAGTTAACGTTTTGCCCCTCTTTCAACATGTCTCATTTAACCTCCCAAGTCCCAAACGAGAGCGCAGATCAACGCTGGTTTGACGATGGGCATGCGAAGCATCACGTTCCACTAGCACCAGCCGTGCCCATCGACCCTACTGTCAACACCTGGTCCCGCTTCGGTCCTACCTTCGAAGCCTATGAATACTCAGGCTGGATCGACGAGAGCGTCTCCTGGAAAACGGACTGCTACATCGGAGATTGGTCGCCGTTGCTGAAAGCCCGCGTCAAAGGCCCAGAGGCCCAGGCCTTTTTCGAATTCATCTCTACCAACCGGTGGCCCAACTTCAAGCCGGGACAGGCGAAACATGCCATCTTCTGCCAGGACAACGGCTGCGTCGTCGGCGAAGGCCTTGTCCTCATGCTCGCCAAGGATGACTTCATTTTCACCAGCGGACCTGGCACAGTTTGGCTGGCGTACCAATTCCGATTCGGAAGGAAGAAGTTCGATGCTACGCTTGAGCTAGTCACCCATGATTGGTTCCTCCTCCAAGTTCAAGGTCCTCGAAGCGCAAAACTTCTCAATGAGGTTACGGCCGAGGGGGTTCAAGACATTGATTTCATGCACTACAAGGAGCTCTCCATAGACGGCACGAAGTTCCTGTGCTTGCGACAAGGCGTCTCGGGCGAACTCGGGTTCGAGCTTTGGGGCCCTGCGAAAGACGCCCGGAAGATTTACAGCTCCATCGTAGATGCTGGCAAGCCACACAACCTCCGCCAGCTCGGTGCTCGTACCAAGATGGTGAACCATGTAAGCAATCACTTTAATTTCTCATCGTAAACTCTCGAATGTCTTTCTGACACTGTTTGCCATCGCAGGTTGAAGCAGCGTTTGCGACGCCGGCCGCCGACTTCATCCCAGCCGTCCACGCGCCCTCGAGCAACAAGGAACTTGTCGAGTTTCGACGATATGCTAAGTCGATTGGCTTCGACTTTGACTTACACGTGTCCAAGGCCAGCGGTAGCTACGGGACCGATCCTGTGCTGTACCACAATACCCCATTCGATCTGAATTGGGGTTGGCTTGTGAATCTTGATCACGACTTTATCGGGCGTGACGCGCTGGCCAAGTTGAAAGCCGACCCTCCGCGGAAGTTGGTGACACTTGTCTGGTACAAGGACGACGTTGCGGACGTCTTCGCATCTTTATTCCGTTCCGAGTCGTATGAGTATATGGAAATGCCTCGCAACTTGCTCGGTAATGTTGTTGGTAGCTCCGTGTCGGTTGGAAGCCAGACCATCGGATACGCTGTTTCTCGGTGCTACAGCTACTGGTTTAAGGAGATGATTTCTCTCGGCATAGTACTCAAAGAGCATGCTTCGCCTGGAACAGAAGTATCGGTGAAATGGGGTAGCGAAGGCTCGAAGCAGAAGATCATCAAAGCTGTAAGTTTGTTCGTAATGAGTTCTGGTGTATTTGGTTGTCTCACATTTGCATACAGCTCGTCCAACCTGCCCCTTACAAAGAAGACAAGAGACGCTGCAAGATTGTCTAGGAGGTTGTTGCTCAACATTGGAGCGGGTGCAGTTCTCATGAAAGTTGCACATGATCTCGCCAATAAAACATCTGCAAGTATCCCGTCGGGAGCTGTATTAGTTGCCGGACCAAAATTAGTTTTCAGTCGTACTGCATCAGTTAGTGGACTGCAGCTACCCTGGAACCCCGCATGATCGCTGCGATGGTCCCATAAATAAAAGTCCGATGCCGTCGCCCTCGGATACTTGTCAATCTCCGTCACGGGCCGTCACGGCAATTTAAATCCTGTTTGTGGGGGTTGAACCGGGTTTACCTGCACATGGTGCTCACTACAGGAATTGGATGCTCTTCCTTATCCTCTTTTGCCTTCCATTGAAATCCTCCTCTTGCCTGTTCGTCTTACTCAGCACCCAGCCACCGACTGTCATCTGAAGCGATGACATCCAAGACAGCGCCTGGAACGTCGGTCCTCTCATTCGCTAAAGAAGGCACCGTGGTACACAAGTGCCGCGTTTGTTTCAAGCCTTTCAAAAGGCGAGAACATCGAAATCGCCATGAGCGCAGCCGTCAGTCATTCATTCGCTTGACAATTTGATGATGCACTTTTGCTTCAGCACTGACTGTGGGCGCAGACACTCACGAAAAGCCCCACATATGCCGGTTTTGTGGCCGTCGGTATGCTCGCAGGTATTACAATTGAACTCATGAATGTGCCCATCCCATATATACTCATTCATACTACCTAGTGACCTTGTGACACGCCATGAGAAAACTCTCCATGCGGACCAATGGCAGCCGGTCAGCCATGACCTCACGCAAAGTTCAGCCTTAGAGGGAACAGACGAAGATGGGTTGATTGGCGATTCGGCTGCCGCCACCAACGAAGAAACACGGACCGATGTCGTGATCACCAACGTCCCGGACAACTCAGCGTCAACATCGGGGATTGAGACGACCACCGCGCATGCCACAGCGATTGACTTCGGCTCCTTTGGCATACACGATGTCAATTTTGATACTTACAATGATTTATCACCTAGTTTCTTCGACCCTTTCCTCGGCGATGTTTTTGATTCCTTTGCTCTCCCAACTTTCGATCAGTCTGGGATAGGGATGAATATGGAGGATGCGTACCTCGAGCCTTTGCTTGCTTCGGGAGAGACTCCCGTACCCCCACAAACGCCGAAAAAGGAACATTGCTTGCCGCGGATATCAAGGACAAGAGCCACGGCGAAACCAAGCATGATATTCACTGAGGAAATGAGGGCACACTGCGTCAATGATCTGAGATCACATCTTACACCCGAGCGACTTGGGGACTTCCAAATGCCTGACACAGCCTGCTTGCAGAAATGTCTGAACTCCTATGTCGAATCATTCCACGTTCACTTTCCTTTTCTACACCTCCCAACGCTTAGCCTCAAGACGGCTCCAAGCCCCCTGACACTGAGTATATGTGCAATAGGTGCATTGCACAGGCTTGACAGGAAGCTCGCTGCGTCGCTTTATCTGACAGCTGAGTCAATTCTGTCCATCGTCGAGTTTGATACCCTGCGCAACTGCTCGGCATTGCTACAAGACTGGGCAAAGCCGCGAGATATGCCAACGTCGGCATCCGCGCCACTTCCGCTGGCTCAAGCCCGCTTGCTACTCGTATTCTTTGCTTCTTTTAGTGGAGAGCCGCAGCTGATACGACAGGCTCTGGTTGGTTGTGGGTTCCTCTCTGCCGTAAGTGCTTCTCGTGTCTCCCAAAATATCCCTAAGATTGCGCTAAACGCACTAGGAATTCCGGTCAAGAATGTCACGAATGCGGCCTGTTTCCACGGCCAACGAATTATCTGACTGGCGAACTTGGGTTGAACACGAGTCAACAAAACGGTAAGGATTTTGTCAATGTTCCAAACCCTGTGCCAATGAGTTGACAAAATGAAGCTTGATGTGCAGCAGCATGATTCTTGGGAACTTACTTGTGATTACGTACGGGATGGTTCCAGGCTTTTCTATCCTCGAGGATGCCGACATTGGAATACCTGCCGATGATGCCCTGTGGGAAGCAAAGACGGCCTCTGACTGGGAAACTCTAGCAGCAAATAAACCGCTGTCATCCCATCTAGGTCTTCGCGAGGCGACTTCCGCCATTTTCGGCCAGACGCCACTTGAAAAGAAGTCAGACATCTGTTGGGAGTGGTCGCCGTTCGCTGCATCGGTGGTAATGCACAGCGTTGCCATCGCTATCTGGTACCTTACTCAAGGGCAACAAGTGTGCCACAGCGCGATTCGTAACTCAAAGGAGAGACACGACGCAAGCCAAATTGCGGCAGCTCTCTCCAGATGCCGAGACTTGCTCGCAGGAGTTGCAGACGCGCACACTGGTACTGAAGGTACTTGGAATGAAGCCGAAAGCCCTCTGCTCTTCAATGCATTCGCCATATTACGCGTTTCTTACGGGAGGGCTTTCATAAGGTTTCACTCCCTAGACCGCTCTCTATTGTTCAAAGAGAGTAGTCAGGTCATGCTGTCCATCTTGAGACGCTATTTCGAAGCTGTACAAGATCGAGACCCCTTCATGACCATGGCTGTCAGCTGTGCTCTCGAGGGATTCGCCATACCAATACGAGCTGGTATTCTGCTCATGCGAAAGACAGCTGCGTTCAAGTGGAGTGTAGAACACGCCTTAGCAAGCTGGGATGCCGGTATTGTCGCAATTTCGCTTCAACCTGCTATGTGCTGAACGTGATCAGGTCTACTTGTTACGAAATGGTTATATGCTGTTGAATGCTCGTATCGGACGAACGAATCTGTCACACCCGAAGAGAAACAGGTCTTAGACAGCGTCAGGCAGCTCTTGAACGAAGTTGAGAGCCATAGGTCTGACCAATCGTCGCTAGCGGCAGACCTGGCTCGTATGTGGGCTAGTATCTACGACGACACGTGGGTTTGGGGAGGTAAGAATATGCTACAGGATCAGCTTCAGGTACCTGACTGAAGACGTCACAGTTGCACCGCGGATCGGCTGGGTTCTCCGGGAACTTGCCAATATGTATGAAACTGGCATCGTTGCTGTATGAGTATCTTGAAGGATCTTGGCCAGTGAAAAGCTTGTAAGTGATTCATAGACGCTGGCTTCTGGAGATCTAGTGTCATCCCTCATCCCACGTCAACCCTTGCCCATTTTCTTAGTGCGGGTTGGGAAAATTTCCCTTTTCAGAATATGGAGCACGAAAGCGGAGGCCCGCACCAGCCATACCCATTCACATCTAGATGTTTCCTGATACCTCGGAATCCGTCGAGAATGCCGATGCTTTTCTTAAATACATGCGAAATGTTGTCTGCCAATCAGGGTTTTTGCTTTGCCAATCGTTCACGCTTCAGAAACTAGATCAGACAATGCTGCTTCCATCTACCAAATACTCCGTCACAGAACCATTGCTACTGGGTTCATGTGTCGTCGCTACCCTTCTCCCTCTTCTTCTCCTGTTCAAACTTATACCACGTCGGCACGATGACATCCCCCACATCAACCCCCCTCCCGTCTTGGACCTTTTTGGCCAAAAGACGAAGAAACATTTCACCTCCAACGCCGGAAAGCTCATGGAGAGCGGGCGCAAGCTCTTCCAGGGGAAACCATACAGGATGTTCACTGACCTCGGCGAGCTTGTCGTGCTTCCCTCCAAGTACATTGATGATTTCCGGAATGAGCCGGGCCTGAGCTTCATGACGGCTTTCATTGACAACTTTCATCCTTCGTTGCCCGGCTTCGAAGGCTTCGCGTTCGACGGCCGTCCGGACGAGCTTCTTCATAGAACCATTAACAAGAGACTCACAAAACTCCTAAGTAAGCCGTGTCCCCCGTGTTCAGCAATCCTGGTCTCAAACATTGCACAAGACCAGATTACTTCACCACTGGCGGCAGAGGCGAATTTCGCGACCAATCTCGTCCTCGGAAAATCAAACGGTAAGTCTGCTCTTGAAATCAAGGCCATATCCTTGAGCTAAATGTGAAAAGAATGGCAGGAGACCCCGATCAAGGATGCCACACTGGAACTAGTCGCCCGCTTATCCTCGCGTGTTTTCCTCGGAGAAGAGCTTTGCCGGAATCAAAAATGGCTCGACATCTCCAAGTCCTACAGCATCAACATCTTTCTCTGTGGAGAGTTACTGCGACAATACCCTCATTTTTTCAGACATGCCGCATGCTACTTCATTCCCGAATGTCAGCTGCTGAGGAAGCAAGTCGCTGATGCTCGAAAACTAATGACGCCAATCCTGCAAAAGCGACGAGATGAACGACGAATCGCCGAGACGAAGGGGAAGCCTGCGCCAGTGTATAACGATGTAATGCAATGGGTTGAGGAAGAAAGTAAGGGGAGCTCTTACGACCCTGTTGGAGCCCAGCTCGGGTTCTCTGTCGTCGCGATGCACACCACGACAGATCTGGCGACGGAGACCATGTGCCGGCTCATTCAACGCCCGCAGCTGGTACACGATCTACGCGAAGAGATTGAAAGTGTGCTGGTGAAGGAGGGCTGGACCAAGACGGCTCTTTTCCAGATGAAGCTACTCGATAGCGTTCTCAAGGAAGCGCAAAGGCTGAAGCCTACGACCTCGGGTGAGTTAGCTCTCAGCATGTAATGAGCTCTCTAATACTAACGACCCAAAGCGACAATGAACCGGACAGCTATAAAGCGCGTCACGCTTCCCAGCGGCCTGGTTCTTGAGAAGGGTGACCGCTGTATGGCAGACCTCGGTTCCATGGTGGATCCTGAAGTCTATGAGAACCCAGAGGTTTTCGACGGGTATCGGTACTTGCGCATGCGCGAAGACCCAAAGCTCGAGAGCAAAGCCCATCTCGTCAGTACCTCGTCGATACATCTGGGCTTCGGTCATGGGAAGCATGCTTGCCCTGGAAGGTTCTTTGCCTCGAACGAAGTCAAGATTCTTTTATGTCACTTACTTTACAAGTACGATTGGGATATTGACAGTGCGTACGAACACAAGATTAGGGAGTTCGGAATCAGTCTTTCCTCTGGAGATGGCCTGAAGGTTTCTTTCAGGAGACGAGAGAACTTGGCTGTTGACATTGACAGCCTCTGATAGTCTTACTGGGAAGGAAATAGAGTGATGAGTGAGGAGGGGCCACCTGTATCAATCGGACGACAACAGAAGAATGAAGAGCATGTTAGGATTGGTATGGAACGAATTTGCATCACTGGAGATAACTTCCAAGAACATGAGCGTCACTGATCAGTGTGCAAGGAGCCCACAAATTCAATATTTGCAAGTGTCGGAGAAAACAACAAAATCAGAATAAGACTTGAAGATTTAAGGCAGGAGCGAAATGGAAGTTGACAGGTAAGCTAACGATAAAGAAAATAACAGGTGCTGCGAAATAACAACTGTTGAAGATCCCCAACAGTTCAAAAAGGAAAAGAAGACAAGAGATGAAAGGAGAGAACTTGTTAAGCCAAAGAGATGGAAAGAAAAGATGCTGACAGCTTTGTCAATAATAGCTGAAGGCCGATGTCGGTAAGATGTGATGCGTCCTTTGCGGCTGTGTTTGGCGGCCTCGGACACGAGTGATGAATCTCAAACGTCGCCAGTGATCATCAAAGTTGAAAGGTGCAGGACAATTACAGTAGTTGGCTCCCGAACTTCCGGAAACTCCCTTGAAAATTAACTCAACACGAGTTGTCAACGGCTGGAATGATGCTTACGGCTGCCTGGTCCGTAAAGAGAGACCTGCAAAGAGCTGGAACTCCATCCTCCGCTGCATCTTTACCGATCGGCTCAGGGCGGACCCACTCATGCCCGCCGGGCAGCGGGCCTAGGGCTGCAGCCACTTAGAATAAGGCCGCCGGCGGGCGGCGCGCGCATGTGTCTCTCGCGCGCCGCCCATCGGGCCATTGCCCCGGGGCCCTCTCTTCGGGTCTCTGATATCGCATTCGTCTTACAACTCATCTTCAATAGTGTAAAGTAAAGCTCTATCGTCATCATATCCCTCGGAGTCCCAGATCAGACAGCAGCATGCCGAAATACGGAGACGCCATGGCGCCACATCCCGCGCTGTCGGTGATGCCTAGACATCTCGGCAGACGCAAGACCAGGGCTTTTTCGCTTTTGCAAGCGATAATTCAGCGCATGCGTCGCCTTTCATCCATTCCTTCTCATAGAAGTTTGCTTACCTGAGTGCCATGCTCACCAAGGAACTCATGTCATCATGGGTTAGGTGAACCCTGGCTCTCACGTGTGAATGGAGCCCGGTGGCGGGGAACGGGGGTTGGCACATAGTACGCGTAGATGGGCCCATCTTGATCAAATCGCTTCGTGTAATAATCGTCCGGCGAGTGATACCTATAACGATTCAAGAACCGCTTGCAATTGCCACCAAAGAGGCGTCGCGAGAACGCCGCCTCTCCCACGCCACGCCAGCAGGCCGTTATCAGCAGCCATCACCGAGCGCCAAACCGCCGGTTCCTTGATGCGCGAGTCAGCAACCCCGACGTCAACGAGATGAGACGAATAGGATTTCTTGTATGCGGCCTCCCTCCGCGGGTGTAATATCGAGAGCTCGAGAAAGAGGCACAGCAGCTGGAACGAATATCCGAAGAAAGGAGCCCTTTAACAAGGGACAACCCTAAGCTTCTCTATGGATCCGGCGATAAGGAAGAGCGTGGTCTCCCGAAGCAATGAGATGCTGCACTCCGCTTGCTGCGCTGCATCATGCACGAACGGCCCCCCCTTTCGATCCAAGTCCACTGTCCCGGAGACCCACGGAGAAGTCTTGAATAATATCCTCATGTCTTTGCATCTGCAGACTTGGCAAGCAACAGGCTGACAGCCGCAGAAGTAGGAATTGGCCCTCTGACATGCGTCTAATTCGGCCTGACCGCCACGGAAATGCGGCATATCTGACAGGGCTTCTAGATGCATCTGTTCTCACATTTCTGGCATGTGTGTTGCCGCCTTTCGCCTTCTTTGTTTACAAATTTTCAGTTAGCTTCCCCGAGGACCGGACGCAGGCCGAGAATCGACATGTAAGGGCAAGCGCTCAATCTAAGGCCTGGGAAATGGTTCTCCCTCCCGAGTCCGGGGTCGTCCCCGGAACTGACAACTTTTTTTTGCCCAGACTTGGCCTTATCTAGAGTAGTGCGCGGCATCTGATTGGCGAATGCGTTATCTCCCCCGCCGGCATTTACCAATTGACTTCGCCCAAGCGCTTCATCATTCTCTAGGCGGCGGAGAGAACCCCCGAACTCTGTCAATGACTTGCAGAGACAGAGATAAGGAAAAGAGCACCACCACAAGGAAGAGAAGACATTTTGGTTGTACAAATGCAGTTTCTAAAACAGATAGCTCGCGGGGTGGGATACGCACTATTATGGAGAACTTCGCGGGCGGATGTCGGAATGGATCGTACCATCCACGCGGAACTGTCAGGGATTGTCAACTTATAACAACCTCTCGACTCCCTCTGCCCACGGGTTGATGGTTTCTGGATGAACTGCAAGTCATCAACAACTTCGACAACTAGCCGCCATCAAACGGGTTCGACAAAGTCTACTGGTCGTCGACTTTAGATCAACCCCTGACTCAACTCTCAGGGCCTAATCCTCTAAGTAGATCGACAACTCTCACCGAGACCTCACCGAACTTTCGACAAGCAGCACCTTCCATATCATCCGCCAAGATGGTTGACTGGAAAGCCATGTTCTCCCCGGCGCCGTCCCTGGACGTGCCCGGGCTGGAGACTGTTGACCTCGCCGACAAGGAGATGGAGAAGCGCATCGTCAGGAAGCAGGATCTCCGCATCCTCCCCTGGATTTGCATCACTTACCTCTTGAGTATGTTCATCAACCTCTCAGAAAGTCTCCCAGACATAGGCCAATCAACTGACACCATCTAGACTACCTCGACCGCGTCAACCTCGGTAACGCCCGCACACTCAACAACGACACCCCCGAAGACAACATCGTCACGATGCTCAACCTCACCGGCTCCCGCTACAACGTCGCTGTCGCGCTCTTCTTCGTCCCCTACGTCCTCATGGAGTTCCCCTCCAACATCATGCTCAAGTACTTCTCCCCCTCCAAGTGGATCTCCCGCATCATGGTCTCCTGGGGCATCGTCACCATCTGCACCGCCGCCTGCACCACCTACGGCGGCCTCCTCGCCGTCCGCATCATGCTCGGCCTCGCCGAGGCCGGCTTCTTCCCGGGTATCATGATGTACCTCTGCTTCTGGTACAAGCCCGAAGAGCGCGCGACCCGCATGGCCATCTTCGCCTCCTCCGTCGCCGTCGCCGGCGCCTTCGGCGGTCTCCTCGCCACAGGCATCTCCTTCCTCAACAAGAAGGGCGGCCTCACCGGCTGGCAGTGGCTCTTCATCCTCGAGGGCATCCCCGCCGTCATGGTCGGCGTCATGGTCTGGTTCATGCTGCCCGACTACCCGCAGACCGCCGCGTGGCTCACCCCCGAGGAGCGCGCCTTCGCCGTCAAGCGCCTCGGCCCCTACGCGCCCTCCATGAGCGACAAGCACTGGGACAGCAAGGTCGCAAAGTCCACCCTCGCCGACCCCTTCTTCTGGCTCTTCGCCGTCATGTACTTCCTCATGACCAACTCGCTCAATGCCTTCGGCTACTTCGCGCCCACCATCGTCTCCTCGCTCGGCTTCAAGGGGTACAACGCTCAGCTGCTCACCGTCCCGCCCAACGTCTTCGCCATGTTCATCATCATCGGCAACTGCCTGCACAGCGACAAGACCAAGGAGCGCTCCCGCCACGTCATCGGGGCCCTCATCTTCGTGTCGATCGGATACCTGCTCCTCGCCATCGTGAAGCACTGGGGTGTGCGCTACTTTGCCGTGTGCATCATCGCCTGCACCAACGCCGCCGTTCTCCCCTTCGTTGCTGTAAGTTCTCACCTCGAAGAATCTCGCACCAATTATCACAGAAGACTAACATATAAACAGCACCGCACCGCAACCGTCCAAGGCTCCACCGCCACCGCCCTCGCGACGGGAGGCATGATCGCGATCGCCAACACGGGCGGCATCTCCGCCCCCTTCCTCTTTCCCAGCACCGACTCCCCCATGTACAGCATGGGCAACTGGACCATCTTCGCCTTCCTCGCCACCACCGCCCTGCTCGCCGGCTACGTCTGGTACGTCTTCGGCAGCCACTCGGGCTACCGCACCGGCACCAAGGACGCCCAGGGCAACCTCGAGGTCCTGGACGCCGGCGCCGGCGACCCGGACGAGATCATGAACAAGCAGCTCGGCATCGTGACCAAGAAGGACGTCGAGGATGTCTAGGCCGGCATCTTCGCCATCCACCGGACAGAAATGATACATGCGGTTTTGGATTTAGTTCGGCGAGCGCGGCTAGTTTTGTGTTGTTGTAATGGATTCATGTGGATTACAGAGTGATAGACAGAGAGAGAGGAAGAGATACCCCTGGATACAGTAAAACCCCGTGGTTAGGGGTCGATAGACAAACAAAGTCAATCTACAGTTTTGACGATTATCAATCAATGTTTCTTACCGACCGCAGCGCCTTTTCCGGGACTGCGTGAGGAGCGTCTCCCGCGTTTACGGTAATCCCGCCCGGCTGGGCTGAACGGGCGCGCTCTCGTGGGCGATGCGAGTCAAAAGCTTGCGAAATGGAAAGAAACTGGGATGACAGCGACGGACAATTAGGCCGTTTGTTCCACGCGATCCAACGGGCGGCAGATGGCTGTAAGTAGTAATGTAAGTATGCTAGCCAAACCCTGAGAGCACGATTCACGAAAGAAGCTTATCTCGCATACCGCGCGAACCCGTTCCACGGAATGCGCGATCCGCCAACGCAAGCTCCGCGGAACAAAAGAACGATTCAAAAACGAGCAATACATGCCGGCCTCGGGAGTTTTCTTCCGTCCCATGGAACCCTGAAGTATTTCGTCTCGTCGTGGCGCGCCCGGGTTGGCCTCGTTCCATGCAAGGATGCTGCAAAAGTATGCGGACTTGCGAGGGGGAGGAAGGGTTCATTGAAGTAGGAAAGACAAAAAGGAGGAGGGCCAGGGCGAGACAGGCACCGGACTTCAATTAAGTCGTGCACCCGCATCGCGCATAAGTGCCCGTGTCAGCAGACACACCTCCCGCCCGTTATTCGCTGGTGTTTCTAGATGCATTTTTGACAGGTGAGGCAAAACGAAACCAAACAGCCTGCCTCGAACTTGCACTGACAGCCGAGAAAACACCCGAGATGGCGCAAAAAAGTAATTGGGCCCTAACCAGGGATCGAACCTGGGACCTCTCCCAGACGTGATTATCGAAGACAACCCTAAGGGAGAATCATACCGCTAGACCATCAGGGCGGGTACTGGATGGGAGTCCAGTCGGTACCAGCTGGCGCTGGTGGATTGGAAGGCAAGCCCGGAGTACAGCTTATTGAGGGCCTTGACTGAACCTAATTCCTCCTCGACCCCGAAAGATGAGATTATCAGATTGGATTAAATCATCGGTCTTTCGTGCCGAAAGCATAAACTCAAGCTTGAGTTTATATGGACCGCGGTATGACAGAAGCCAAGAAACTTCCGTCTTTCCCGCTCACATGTGTGTACGCGCGCTGCGCCCTACGGCGCTGGACGTGTGAACTTTGCTGAGGCTTTATTTTTCGAGTTGTATGCAATGCCGCGCTCTGCTCATGTGCTGTATGTATTTTAACGTTTTTGTTTCTCTGCCAAAGCCAATCCAACCACCAAGGGGATCCCTTCCCGCTCGCACGCCGCACGTATGCCGTTTTGCCTTGCCTCCCCTTTTCCGGCTGCAGGGCGAAAACTCTATTCCTCATCCTCAAACGTCACTGAATGAATCATGGCCCAGTTGCGGATGTCGTCGAAGTTGCGGCAGGTGTGCAGGGTGCTGAAGTCGGGCCAGTGGCCCTCGACGGGGAGCTCGGGGTACATCTTGAAGGTGAAGACGCCAATGTCGGACTCGCACATGAGTTTCATGCGGATGGCCTCGATGCAGTGGTCTGTAGAGATGCGTGAGTTAAGTGATGATGATGAATTGTACGCGGTTTGATGAACATACCGATGTGGCCGCGAAGGTCCTCCGCGTCGGTAGGGACGTCGCCGCCGACCTCCGTTCTGTTGTAGTACTCGGGGTACGACGACTGGCGGAGGAGGTTGAGGCAGTGGAGCTGGTGGAAGACCTCAAGGCCGGCGCGGTATCCCTCCTCGCCCGTGATGGGGTTGGTGATCTTGATGGACTTGGGGTCGAGGCCGAGCTTGACGAGCTCTGCGTGAGAGATCATCTGGTCGCCAACTGCAGTCCAGTCAGTCATCGCGAAGCTGCCGATGCATCCATTACATTAGAAAGCCTTACCATTGTTGGTGATGTGATCCCATGCACGGTCAACCTCCCACCCGGCTCCAACAAACGGCGAGAAGTCCATGATGGGGAGCAGCTTCCATCTCTCGCTGTGGTACTTGACCACTTCCGCCGCGGGGGCTGTGTTTTCGGGTCAGCTTCCTCCTCAATCAAACATGTCTTAATGACGAAGAAGACATACAGTATGAAGAGTACTTCTTGACAAAGTATTGGTCGTCGATCTTGTTGCCGAAACGCAGGCAGAACGCCAGCGCAAAGAACGTAATCGACGTCGTCAGCAACAGGCCGTGAACAGCCCACGGCCAGTACCTCGCGACAAGCAGACGCGCCTTCTCTTTGCACGGCATCTCATCGCCGACCCTCATCCGCCTCCATCTCGATGTCGACGCCGGCCGGTCCGTGTTTTCCGTGTTCTCCGTGTTGAGGCTCCCGGCCAGGCTCTCGACCTCCTCCTCCTCGTGCGGCACTTCTCGGTAGATCTTTTCGGACATGATTAAGTTGGTTTGAAAGAAAGCAGAGAGAATAAGAAGAGTACGACAACAACAAAAATGTAACTATGTGAAAGAAGTCCTCGCACGCCAGGTGCTAATTAGGGAAGAGAATGAAAGTAACGACACGCAACAAGTCAACCCCAGCGACAGGATGTTTGTTTGGTGTTGAGATTGGGAAGTGAGAAGTGAATGACCAAACAAAACGATAAGAATTGAGAGGTACGGAGAGAAAGAGGAAGAGAGAGTAGACTACGCGAGGGGCGACGCTCGGCGTGCTTTCGCTGAAGGTAAGAAGAGACGAGTGCCAAGACGATCCGCTTCGGGCACGAAAATCGGATTACCAGAATGATGGGAGATCACAGACCGTCAACCATCGATGGGGGGGAAAGGGCGCTTGTCTGCAATGGACCGTGTTTGGTGTTGCTGGAACTTGCAGCAATAGCAGCGGCGTGATGTAGACAAGGTAGAGTAGGACGCGAGATTGGCACTTCCAGGTTGGGCTCTCTGTCTCTCTCTGAGTCTCTCACTGTGTTCGGCGTTTCTCTCCTGGGCCTCGCTTGCGCTGTCATGTCAAGTCAACGTCAAGGGGAACAGGCTAACAGTGAAAAAATTGGGCAAGAAAGTCGCCGTCCGCACCGCTTCTGGGTAATGTCGACAGCCACCGGGGCCAGCCACTGGGCATGTCATCCAGCCATCAGAAACGTTTGGGCTGTTTGATCTTCGTTGCGAAGTTGCGGACGGGCCATGGTGACCTTTCATCCAAAGCAAGAATAGACGACACAGAGCGGACTACAGCGCCGTCGCAGCCGGGGCGGGAAAAACGGGATCGCTCGTCCAATCATGGATGGGCCTCGACAGGTCGGGGGAAAAGAAGGGATAACTAATCAATTCATGGGTGAGGCATGGAGGAATGGAGGGATGTCGTGCACTGTGACGGAGGTGGAGATGGTGGTGGTGGTCCGGGTCGATGTTGCATCTTGCGCGAGTCTTGTTCTGCAGCAGCGGGAACAACATCAGCGACAGCAGCAAAAGAAGCACTGAAGCAGCCAATCTTGCACACTCGCAGCAGGGCGTCTTCAGCTGTGCGTTCGCCTGACTGGCTGGCTGGCTGGGCTTGCCTGGGTCCCCGTGTTTGGCCAAGCTGAGGCGTTGGTGCGGTGTCTCAGAACAGGGGCCTGGCGAAACGCGGAGCTGGGACGTGACAGGGCCTGCCTTGGCTTTGCGGAGATTTTAGCCCCCTCCCCTACGAAGTACGTTCCTGTACCATGTCACGCTAACTTAGTCAATCGAGTTGTACGTATCCGTAGTGCTCCCCATCAACGCGGTAACACCAAACCTCGATCCCACCTTTCCACTACTTTGACTTGAATGACAGACAACCACACACCCTTGCCCGCCTCGACTTCAGCCAGGAACCAAAGTCTACCCGCAAATTTGTCCCATCTTCAGCCAGAGACTTGCACTAACTGGGAAAGCGCCCAGGCCACACCCATGAGGCAGGCAGCGCAGGGCCGCAGGGTGGTGGGCGGCACTGCGGCTCAACACCGCCCGGCATCTTGTTGCCGCAACCTCACATTCGCTCTGCACCGCTGCTGCTGCTGCTGCTTCCAGAGTGGGACGCTTCGTTTTCCACACCTTGCGAGTCGGGTTCTTTTCCACCTTTGGCGTGTCATTGTCTTGGCAGCCTGGGACTGCTGCTGTGTCAGAGGGACGACCGAAGACCGCCCCCCCTGTGCGGCTCTCTCACTAACCGTAGCCAATCTCGCATGCCGCATTTGTCCTCTCCCAACACCACCTCGTCTCTCAGTGGTCACTCATCCCTCTTCTCTTCACCTCTGGCTCCCTCGCCCTGACCGCGCCGGTGTCGTGAACACCTTCCGTAACGGCCTGTCGATCAGGCTTAGCATCAGATCTGGCTGGGAGCCCTGTCATTCCCTCGTTGCCAAGTTCCCAAACCACCAAACGAGAAAGAGGCGCCTCCACAAAACACCCCTGGCCCGACTTCCTCGCAGACTGAAACTGTAAGCGAGGCCCAACCAGGGTCATTCCTATCGCCAATAAGATATTATGCTTGTTGAAGCGAGCGCATGCCGCTGGAATACGCAGAGACGCGGGTAACGGCTCGAATCCCAGCAAGCCACCCAGACCGCCCCATCCCCGCACTACCCAACGATCCTCGACATCACCAGGCGTGGTCCTGGGGCAGTTTTGAATGGTGTCCCGTCTCTACGGCTAGCCCAGTCCGAGCAACTCTCTCCATTGTGTCTGCAGAACAAGCCGTCATAGCCCGTGACCCTGCCTGCCCGTCTCTCTTCCCTCCCCCAGTGCCCCAACTCCGTGACCAACCACCCCCTCTAGACCCTTTCACTCGAACTCTGAGACGTTTCTGGTCTAGCAGAGCAGGACGATCACAGTTTGACGCCTTCGAAGTCGAAGGAACTCGTCTAAACTTGGGGCCCCGGCCCCTGCCCGTACGTACAACTCGCGATGAGGTTTGGGGGACGACATCTGCCGGAAGGGGGGGCCATGTCACATCCATCCACTCCCCCCCGTCAGGCACAGGAGTGATTCTGGAGGACGAGAGAGAAGACTTGAGCTAGATATAAATCACTCAAACCCGCTCATCAGCCCACAAACATCTGACCATTCAACCCTCTCATTCCACAGTTGGCCCCTAATCGCTTGACGCGACTTTTCATTCTCTTCCTTTCTGTAATTTCAGTTGCTGTCATTCGCTGCCGGTCAGCCTTACCATTCCTTTTCCATCAAGATGCATTACCCTTCCTTCGGCCACTTCCTCTTGGCGAGCATCCTTGCCGTCCAGGGCGTTCAGTCCCTCAACCTCATCCCCAATGGCGAGGTTGCCAGACGCGTGGTAGTGAGTTGGACACCATCATGAGTTTATACAGTGGGGGACATGTGCGCTAATATGAGTTAATTAAGGCTCCCGCCTTGGCACTTGCCATTCCTGCCGTTGCCGCGCCCCAGGCCGTTAACATCGAGGCTCGTGAGGTAAGACGCTTGACTATATATGATCAAATGGTTTCCCATATTCTAACAACCTACCACAGCCTCACCACCGCGGCAAGAAGACCAAGAAGGCCAACCGCAACCGCCGTGACGAGTCCATCGTCGAGGATGCCCTTGAGGCCCGTGACATTGAGGCTCGTGAGCCTGAGCCTCACCACCGTGGCAAGAAGACCAAGAAGGCCAACCGCAACCGTCGTGATGAGGCCTCCATCGATGAGGCTGTCGACCACGCTGCCGTAGAGGAGCGTGACATCGAGGCCCGCGAGCCCCACCACCGCGGCAAGAAGACCAAGAAGGCCAACCGCAACCGCCGTGACGAGGGTGCTCACGATGACGCCCTCGAGGCCCGCGACATCGAGGCCCGTGAGCCCCACCACCGTGGCAAGAAGACCAAGAAGGCCAACCGCAACCGCCGCGATGAGGCCAGCACTGATGAGGCTCTTGAGGCCCGTGATATCGAGGCTCGTGAGCCCCACCATCGCGGCAAGAAGACCAAGAAGGCCAACCGCAACCGTCGTGACGAGGCTTCCACCGACGAGGCTCTTGAGGCCCGCGACATCGAGGCCCGCGAGCCCCACCACCGTGGCAAGAAGACGAAGAAGGCTAACCGCAACCGCCGTGACGAGGCCACCACCGATGAGGCTCTCGAGGCTCGCGAGATCGAGGCTCGTGAGCCCCACCACCGCGGCAAGAAGACCAAGAAGGCCAACCGCAACCGCCGTGACGAGGCCACCACCGACGAGGCTCTTGAGGCTCGTGACATTGAGGCCCGCGAGCCTCACCACCGCGGCAAGAAGACTAAGAAGGCTAACCGCAACCGCCGCGACGAGTCCGCTGCCGGTGACGCCGTTGCGTTCACCGCCTAAGGGATTTCCCATTTGGCAGGCAAGGGGCCAACTACGATTTGCTCTGACCATTGGGGGGCGTGCCCTTGACTATTCAGACGGTCTCGGCGTCCCCCCGTCACCCTGTACTTTAGAGTCCGAGATCCCTTCTCTTTAGGAAGAGGGGAGAGAAATCCAAAATTGCCACCCTCGGACTCGGTGGCGGGTTCGGATTCGGGAATTGCATCTTCTTTTTCCTTTAGCCTCAGTGTTGTGTGTAGACTAGATCAGCTCTTTTCGGTTTCCTTTTCCATAACATCTTTACAGTAATAATGACGGTACCTAATGTGCTTTGAATGTGCCAAAACGTGCCTTCGTGTTCTTCGCTGCTCGTGTGTGAGAAAGACTGAGCGATTGGTGGGTTGTGTTTGTGCGTCGTCGAAGGGTGAAACAGCCCAGTCGCAAGGCCAGCAGCGTCGCAGCAGTCCCATATCCGTACCTTTGCTGGTTGCATGAACCCCCGAAGTGTTGCGACGAATTTTGCGTTTCGCCTCAAAGTGTGGCCGCCCTCCCTTTCCTTGGGATGATGTCAAAGCATTCTCTCGGAGCCGGCGCGGATGTGCCACGCGGCGTGGCCGGGAACATCCCTTCGCTCTCGCGTTCGCGAGTCGTCGCGGGAGGGTGACTTTGCAGTTTGGGCGGAATTCGGCACAAAGTCCGCGTTGCGTCGTGTGCGTGGCGGCTATTGGTAATCGAATGTGGACCGGAGTTCGACGCAATTAATTGCGTGCGCAGAAATATTTCGGGAATGAAGATATCCGGGAGATGCCATGACGTTTGTCGTTTGCTTGAGCCTCAAGATCCATATCCCCCAAGGATCTGAAGCCAAGAGCTGCTAGTCGCCCAGTGATCTGCCAGGGTTGTGCGTCTTTCCCGTCTTGGAAACCGCAAATCCGACAATACTGGTTCTCACATATCTCAGAGATCGCTTCTTCCAAGTGATTTTCGTTCCCCCCCGCGCGTCGCATCGAACCGTTCATCATCTCGATGCAAGACCCGCTGAGCGACGCGTGGAAGATGAACGGCGTTCGGCCATCTCCCGCCCGCGTGGTCCCATCAGACACCCACAAAAAGTCATTCGAATGACTTTCTTTTTCGAGAGCAAAGATTCAGAGTCCGAGCCAAGAGGTGAGAATGTACCTCGAATGGCTATCAACGCGACAACACGCTGATGTTTGAGTTTTTCCTGGAAATGCGATGAGCCGAATCATGTTGGCGCTGGCCTCAAGTCCGGGGACGCCCGAAAGGCACTGCCCGCTGATGATGATGCCGAGCATTGAGCCATCACGTGATAAGAAGACTTGTCTCTGACAAGCCTTCTGTGTTGAAACTTTGCATCTTGGCGTTTTGAGGTTGTGTTCGTGATACCATTAGTGCTGTTGATAAGTGAAGTCGTCGAGAGGTCAATTGCGTACCGGTCGCAACACGAATGGAGGAGTGACCCACTTGGATGGAAAACCCCGGACTTTCTCCGCAGGGGTGGGGATTACATAAGTGAACCTTCCAGGTGCCCAGAGCTTTATCTTATCGATACAGATAAGCTTTGACGTGAGGCAGGCACCTGAATGGTGGGGTAAGATACCTGTTGCCGCCTTCCACCTTCAACCTTTCTTTCCCGCCGTCAACTCCATCAAACAAATCCTGCTCACGCAGTTCGAGCAGCCAAGATGGAGACAGCTCTCAAGTCGTGGGGTAAGCTATTTCTGATTACTCCCCGATCCATTGCTCCCGCCGCCTCATGCTAACCGCCGCCCGCAGAGCTCGACAACAACGTCAAGTTGGTCGACCCCAAACGCGACGCCCTCTACGACCTCGATACCGATGCCCAGAAGACAGCCATGGCCGCCCGCCCGTGGGCCCAGAACCCGAACCACTTCAAGAACGTCCGCATCAGCGCCGTTGCGCTCATCAAGATGGTCATGCACGCCCGGTCCGGCGGTAACCTCGAGGTGATGGGGCTGATGCAAGGGTACGTCAACGGCGACACCTTCATCGTCACAGATGCCTTCCGACTACCCGTCGAGGGAACCGAGACGCGCGTCAACGCCCAGGGCGACGCTGAGGAGTACATGGTCGAATACCTCACCCTGTGCCGCGAGCAGGGCCGCATGGAGAACGTCGTCGGCTGGTACCACTCCCACCCGGGCTACGGCTGCTGGCTCTCCGGCATCGACGTCAGCACTCAGGCCCTGCAGCAGCAGTTCCAGGAGCCCTTCCTCGCCGTCGTCATCGACCCCGACCGCACAATCAACGCCGGCAAGGTCGAGATCGGCGCCTTCCGCACGTACCCCGAGAACTATGTCAAGGAGAAGGAGAGCAGCAGCGGCGGCGGCGGCGGCGTCACGAGCGAAGGCTGGCAGGAGGTCCCCCTGGCCAAGGCGGCGGAGTTTGGCGCCCACGCGAGCAAATACTACAGTCTGGAGGTGTCACATTTCAAGAGCACGCTCGACTCGCACCTGTTGGAGCTGTTGTGGCACAAGTACTGGGTGCAGACGCTGAGCCAGAGCCCGCTCTTCACGAACCGCGACTACGGAAACAAGCAGATGCTCGATCTCGCCTCCAAGATCAAGGAAGCCACGACGCAGGTTTCTCGGCAAGGACGGAGTGCGTCGTCGATGAACGCCATGGGCACGGGCGGCAAGAAGGTGGACGGCTTGGTCGAGAAGCTTGTCAAGGATACCAACGCGGTGGCCATGCAGGAGAAGACGGGTCTGGTTGCGATGGATATCAAGAAGAAGATTTTCAACGACGTGAGCGCGAACGCGTCGTAACTTGGGAGTCCTGTTTTAGTGGTTATTTCTCGACGTCTTCCGGGGTACACAAGCAACCTCTTGGGCATGATAGATGGCGTTCAGAGGATAGGCTGGGCGTTGGCCCTGAAATGAGATTATGAATTTGAGTCATTCAATTGCGTCTCTGACTTTGAGTCTTTTCGGTATGTTAGGAACCTTGATTGCTGGCCCTGACCAAGTCGGTTTTCTTCGTCCACCTGACCTTGCTGGTGCTGTCATCTGAAGATTAGCTGCGGTCCTCGCGGAGACGGAGCGCTCCGGACCAGGTCGACCGTTGATGTCCGAAAGGATGACGGATTCCTCCTCGCTCCGCGTCACTATCTCGGTCGAGAGCCCGCCATCTCATATTTACCAAACTCAGATGACTTACCCTAACCTGACGGTTTCGGAGCATTGTACCACATGCAACCACTGCGATGGGCCTGCGCCCTCTATCTGGATATCGCCTAGCAGTGACGAAACATGCCCAGCGGGATACTTTGAACATTCTCAAGGGCTTGTCGTTCACCAGCCAATGGCATTGTGTCTGACCCGAGCGGGTACTCCATCACCCCCAAAGTCGAATTCGGAGAGCTTTGCAGCCCAATACAGCGAGATGTCAAGCTGAGTGACGGTCTCCGTGCTATTTTTTGTCCTTTCCCAACGTCAACGAATAAATTTCTCCGCGTGGAAGGTTATGTTTTACGGGTTCCCAAAACTTGAATGTTGCCAAGCCAAGAAGGATGTTTGCGGATGCTTCGGAAACGCGAAAACACCCTGACCGCGCAAGCACGAACTCGAAAACTGGTGCAGATGGAAGTTTAAGATTATGCAGATAAACCGATACAAATAGGGGGCAATTGAGTCATCGTGGTCTAGGCAAAAGAAAACATGCTCACCATTTTGCCACTGTTTCTTGGTGTTGACCCTTTGTTGAAGTGACAAGGGGAGGATATTTCCCCACTTTCAATTAGAGAATGGGCATTTAATTGGTCGAAACTGGATACCACAATCGCCCTAAGATGGACGCGTGAAGAGAGTTCATCGCGCCTCGCCATGATAAGTTCGTGAACACTTGGACCTTCATTCGCTCTTCAATCCAATATTCGGACTCATCTGAAACACTTGACTATTCAATCTGACTAACGCTACTAGATCTATTGCATTATCACAGCACGCCAGCCGATTCTGTGTACAGCTCCACGACTGCAGCGCGACGCGTCCTGATTAGGCTAATCAGGATGGGGACGGAGCTCGTGCACCAGGCGCCCACGCCCAGGGAGCATATCGAGCAGCTGGCAAAGACAAACAGCGTGCTCTCGGACTCTGAGCTCGAGGACTTTGGGGACCTGGACCCTGCCCTCCGGCGTAAGCTGGAGGCTACTATTCTTCGGAGGACGAAGTCTCCCATCATCAGGTACATCTTCACAATACAGTGAGCTTCAACGACCAAGGTAGCTAATCCCTGACCTGGTAGCTTTTTGGAAGAATTCAAGGCCGACACAGTCAATCGCCTTTGGGAGTTGGTCGAGTATGCAGACAACCAAGATTACAGTCAGGCGAAGGCAAAAGGTGAAGCTGCGGAGATCAAATTCGAAGTCCATACAGGCAGAATCCTTGTAAGATTCAACGACAATGGTCTCACACCCAAGAGCGTTGATGCCTTGTGCGATACCAGCTCTATCGTCGACACCGCCGACACAGCAGCAATACCCAGTCAGCTGCAGCACAAGTTTCTCTTCAAACTTGCCTGGAAAATGCACTGGGAGTCCAACGGATATTCTTTCAGTTTCGTCCATCGTGATGGTGATCTCGGTACGGGCATGTTCTCACCAATCTGGGAAGAGGACCAACCCAGAGACGAACCTTTGGAACAAGAGACCAGTGGAGGTACTTGTATTACGCTCTTTCTGCACAAGCATGATGACCCGCAGGCCGACTTGGAGCAGACATGTCATATTCTTAGGGAATTCGAGATTCTCCAGAACAGCACCTGCGAGCTTCTGCTTACTACCAAAGTGGAGAACTTTACTGTGTCTTCACACGATTCTGAAGGGAACACCTTGGAGTCGACTATAATCAGGCTCAAGCGGCGCAAGGTTGAGAGACAAGACCTTTTCACCATAACCAGAAGCAAGTCTTCGGAGGAGACAGTAGACGAGCGGGTCTTCATCCACGATATCACATTTTTCGACGCTCCATCGAAGATCGATGATGAGAGTACTGCTCTCGAGCAAACCGACATTGTCATTGCGTTCGAATTGACACATGACCCACGAAGCGGACCTCAGCCCGTTTGGGGATGCCACCACGCGCAGTTGAAGTCTTTGGGCCTGAAGGTGCGTCAAACATAACTCCAGAGGACGGAGTAATAGTCAGGAGATGTTGAGCACGCTGACTTTGATCTAGTTCCTGCTCCAAGCCGATTTCGATGTCCGCGACGGCATCCCAGCCCCAAGTAAGCGGAACCAGGCGATCCTCGATGCCATCGCCACCCATTTCGTCCACATTGTCGAAAGCTTCTCCAAGACATCACTGGGCTATCATTGGGCTCGCTGGTTACCTCAAAAGGAGGACGCTGGCTCAGGCACCATGATCACACCAGCCCGCTTGCACAGTAAGATCAAAGATGTTCTGAATGACGCGGAAGTCTTCCGAACGAGGACGCCGGATGAATTCCAAACGCTCTCTGCCGTTCGACGGATACCTGCTTTTTGGCTCGATGACAACGGTGACCCGCTGTTCCCGGATACAGATGACCCTGTCTATCCTGCGAAAGAATACGAAAACTCGGATCTGGATCTTCTCTCGTCTTACGGTCTTAAGTATATGACTTGGGACCATCTGCTGGCTCGTATCAAGTTTGACATGCGAGGGGCAGGCCAGCATACCCCTCGTTGGTCGCCTAACAATCTCCTAACCAACGAGACGTGGCGTTGCCTTGCTGTGGAAGCAATACTTCACATTCATCACAACATTCCTCAAGAGGCCGCCAAGCGGCTGCGGAAGATGCCGCTGATTCCACTATGTACGACGCAGATGGTTACGGCGGCAAAAGTCAAGCCGATTTATTTTCCTTTTGACAACAAGGGTCTGGAGATACCGACGTCCCTTTCGCTACATATCGTCCTCAAGGATCTGAGCGGCGTCTCCGCTTTTGGTCCTGACGACCAGGACCGGCACAACTTGTTCAACAGACTTGGGGTGCAAATGGCAAACACGACTTTCGTACGCGACCGGATCCTCAGCTCACCAATGCATGAAGTACTGAAGTCGGGGTCGTCGAAGAAGAATCGGGCCGTCGAACGATTGAGATACCTGTTTCTTTCTGACGAATGGAGTGTCGAGACTGAAGACCCGTCACTGGTGGCCGAGAACCTCGTTGTGATGGATACCAAGAATCGCATACGAAGTCCAGCCGGCTCAGCCCACCATCGTACATATTTGAAAACAACCGACCCGTACGGACCCTGGGAGCTTCTCAAAGGTCCTTCGAGTGGCGAAGGCACCGAATTCGATGCCTCTTTCCTCCACGAAATGTATACGAAGGACGAGCCAGCTGCCAAAGACGGCGGCGAGTCCTGGACTGCGTGGCTGCACCGCTACCTGAGCATCAGCACACACCTTCCACTGGTCGACCCGCAAAACACCGCAAAGCTCTCACCAGAGTTCGAACACGTGTACACGCACCATCCAGAAAGGTTCGTCGGCGCGCTGCAGCGACACTGGCATCTCTGTGACGAGTGGTCGCCCAATCACGCGGCGTTTATCGAGAATCTACGAAATCGCGAGGTCATCTGCAACGACGGGAAGAAGTACCGCCTGTCAGAGACGTTCCTTCCACTTCCCGAGGTGAGGGAGAAGTTTTTGGAATATGTCGCTACTCCGTTTGCCGTCCTTGATCTTGACGAGGAGGTCACGGCATCTTCTTATTCTTTCAAATGGGGATTTTTGGTCCTGGAGCTACGCGTCAAGACCGGTGTCTTCGAAAGCATGGAGTTCTATCTTGATGTCCTCAAGAAGCTTTCGTCGCTTCCCAAGAGTGGCTTTGCGAAGCCGGACGCGTTTGGCGACACAATCGTACGACTGTATGAGAAGATCCAAGCTCTCTTCGTGTCTCTTAGCGGCAGCAGCTCAGAACGGGCCAAAACAGAACGGTCCAAATTATGGTAGGTGCTAGTATGCTTGACGACCGCCGGGGATGAAGAAGCTAAACAACCTTGGAGGCAAGAGTTTCAGAACAATCGTTTAGTCTGGGTGCCAGGAGAAAGCGGAGCTGATGAAGACGTGCCGCGCTGGGCTACCCTCAAGGAATGTGTGTGGAAGGCCCCTCATCATATCCTTTCCAAGCACAACCTCGAGGAACGCTACAGAACGCAGCTCGAAGGCGCGGACGAAAGATTGGCAACTTTGGAACAGTTTTTCCAAACTACCCTCGGCATCGCGGATTGGAGCTTTGCCATTGACGACATGATCGTGGAGTTGTCTGAGCTTCGGCGGGCAGAATCTATCGAAGAAGATATTCGGGAGAGCAGCGCACTATACTGTTACAAGCGAATGGATGATATCCTGGGAAAAGGAATAACTCGGAAGGTAGAAGTAGAGCGGCTGAGGTTGGCACCATCTTTTCTTGGTTTGGCAGTGAATTTTACAGAAGTGGCTGACAATTCTCGCAGAAAGACTTTCACAGACGAACAGCTCATCTATGTGCGAGACAAGCGCACCGGCCGTAGCATGTGGCTAACGTCTCGCTATTGCTTTTGGTCCTTCGGCACGATTAGTCCCCTGAACCACATATCAATCAACTCGATGTATCCTGATTTCAACACCTTATTCGTCAAATTCCTCGGAGTTCACCAGCCCGACTTCGACATGGTTTACAAATTTCTCCTTTCGTCGAGTAAGCTGACTTCCGCTACTCTCTCAAACGTCAAAGCAGCTATGTTGGCGCTTAACACGTATGGAGACTTCCGAGGACGTCACAGCACTCTGGATCCTGCGCCTCTTTTGAAGGAGAAGATTTTCCCGGTCCGACACCCGGACGGCAAGGTAACTCTTGAGCCTATCACAACCGAGTTCTTCATCATGGACAGGAAGAATTTCGGATTGAAGTTCGCGTCGAAGGTAAAGCTTCTCGATTTTACTGTCGAAGAAACCCAGAGCCTCGAAGCCGTGTTTGTATGGCTTCGCATGGGCGATCGCTATCTGTCCTTCTTCGTACGCGATCGGGACCTTCTCCTGGATGTCTATTCATCGAGCCCCGTACAACCATACCGGGATATAAAGCGTCGGGCGTACGCATTATGCCGGTGAGTCACCACGCGGATAATGAAGCGATGATGTGCAACCCTCTTACTTCTTTCTCAGAATTGCTGCGCATTGCCGTAGCCCACGCTGGGCTGCAGATAAGCGAAAGATGTACCAAGATCTCATGAACTTGGAAACCTACGAGACAGATGGTATCTATCGGCAACTGTCCATTCTTCAAGACGGTCAAACCCACTACTCCGAGATCGAGAAAAGCGATGGCATCTTCTGGGCAGACAATGAAAGGTTGTACGTTCCGCGTGATCCGGCTCGACAGGATGTCTGCTATCACATGAATCTCCCAAAACAGGTTTTCGCCTGGATGATGAGAGATCCCTCAACTGGAAGACTCACTTTGAGTGGATTCGCGGTGGACCGGAAGATCCAACTCGTCGCTGCTGTCATCAACATGTCGGAGTCAAGTGTGCCTCTGGCCTTAGTTGCGGCAGACATTGACGAGATCGATTGGCGAGAGGTGGACAACGAGAGGGTGGCGACCACGCCCAAAGCCGAAGTACCACACTACTTTGAGATGCCCACGACACCCACGAAGAGCAGGAGTCCAACACCCGACCTGGCGAACGCAGCTGAACCAGCTGAGGAGGCAGCCAATACGCCAGAGGCATCTACGACACCCACAAAGCGCAAAAGCTCATCACCTGAGCCGCCTAATGCAGCTGAGCCAGCTCAGGAGACCGTCGTCGCGCAATCAGACATTGTTCTCCCCAGCATCGAAGACTCCGATACGCCGAAACGTGCGAAGTTGGCAATGGTGAAAGTGGAAGAGTTCGATTTCCGAATGCCTTCACCGGACCCGAGACCAAAATCTATCTCGTCACCTGTCAAGACCTCATTACCCGTAGTGCCTGCAGACCAAGGCTTCACCTTTAGGATACAGACCCCGCCAACTGTCACTCGTCTGCTTCAGTCCCCGCCGGATGAGGACTATGGGGGGGTGAGATATGTTACCGGAGAAGAAATGGATTATCAAGATTGAAATTGAGGCAGAGACTGGGAAGCTTTGGCAGTCTCCTTTTCTAAGTCGAACATGAGAGTTTTCACCTCATATCGAGCCAGATGCTAGACCTCCTCAGAAGAACTCAGAACGCATGATGGTGTCGCATTCGTCATTTCATCTCGCCGTTAGGCAGTCGCAGATGTGGTTTTGAGCTGTATTTTTTATTCGCATTGACACAAGCCAAAGGCATGAATTTTGAGAGACGAAGTCAATTCGAATACTATTTGCATCCGCTAATTCCAGCAGCGAACTATGTACATTTGAAGAAAATCGTCTTGCTCATCCACTGAAACAACTTCCAACACCAACTTCCCCGTCAGCGACACTCGCTGATATCAATCACGACTGACTGCTATGAACATCTAGCAATCAGGAGTGGCAGCGGCGGCAGCGGCCTTGGCAGTGGTGGCGCTGCCGGCAGAAGCAGCGTTGCTGCCGCCAGCAACGGTAGCAATCTTGTCGCCGCTGGATCCGTTGGCGCTGCCGCGGGTGGTACCACCAGGGATGACGTCAGGGCCGGGAATGACATTGTAGGAGGTAGAAGAGCCCCAGAGACTGAAGTTGACGGCGGCATCGGCCTGCTTGTAGACGCCGGGGATGGAGACACCAGTGCCGGGCATGCTGGTGGCGGAGTTGCCGGTGACCTCGACCTGGGCGCAGGCGTAGTAGAACTCAGCCTGGCCGTCGTGGGCGCCGTGGAGGCCAATGTGCTCGCCGCGGACGAGGTACTGTCCGTTGGGGATGGTGGAGGGAACGACAAAGTTGACGTTGTCCTCGCCGTAGCTGCACCAGGCGGTGGTGCGAAGGGAGGCGGCGTCGCCGGCCTTGCAGAGCAGGGACTGGCTGACCTTGTACCACTGGCTGCCCTTGTCGGTCTTGGCGTCGGTGACGGGGCTCATGTAGACCTGGGTAGGGCCGGGGTGGAGCATGCCGGTGCCACCGAAGGCCTGCTTGAGGCCGACCTTGTCGCCGGCCTTGACCTTCATAACGGAGGCGGCGCTGTTGGATCCCTTGTTGCAGGTGAAGTCGGCATCGGTGGGGGCGATGGATCCGGAGGGGATGTTCTTGAACTTGGTGGGCATGTAGGTGTTCTGGTGCTTGCGGATGTAGGTGTTGTCGCCACCCTGCTGAGCACCGTTGACAAGGAGCTTGTCGAAGGTGTAGTGAGCGGAGGAGAGGCCGAGAAGGGCGGAAAGAACGACAGTGGTCTTCATTTTGATGGTTAGTTGGAGGTGAAGTGTAAAGATTGAAGCGACTTCAAGTCGAATGAGTGAATGGTAGAATCAAAGAATGGAATGAGAAACAAAGAGTGTCTGGAAGCTGATGTCGAGCTGAGTTGATCACAATCCTGTAGACGGACGGATGTGGTGCTGTTTAAATACACCGTCAATGAAGGCCAAGAGCTTTAAATCTAAGAGTTAATTTGACAGCTTGAACCCCATTGACCCATCTAGATCTCGCAGTATTGTCTAAAGGGAACCCTCGAATTCCCATTTTCATCAATCGCCCTCGCTTGATGGCCCTGATGTGCGCGAGATAGATTGGGTGCAGGACCCAAGACCTGGTCCGATACAATCAGCTCAGAGTATGGCTTGCTCCAATCCCATTGGTGTGTATGTCAGCGACGAGCTTGGCCTACCTAAACGCTGACCAGGCCGCCAGCCTTTTCGAGGCCGCTGTCTGTGGGGTAGCACGGGGACTCCCCCTGAAACTCTTCGTCCCCTGGTCACTTCGTGCTCTAGGCTTCCAGTCAGCGCATAGAACTGGATCAGGTTCATTTCTCAAGGATCGTCTGATCCATGTAGTTGAGTCCCGATCCTTTGGTTGCCTGCGTGGACAGCCTTCAAAGGTTGTGGCTCTCCAAGAAAGGAAGCGGTGGATGAAGTCCGCCTATCTGAACTGCCCCAGACGCGCTGGGAGTATCAATGTCTGTAAATCAGGATAGCCCCCGTTATCTGTTTATAAACCCTTAGCAGCTTCAATAGGCTTCTAGCGCTCATGGTACCTCGTTCAATAATGTTGGTAGAGCCTTTTCCATGCGGACCGCGGAAAGAAGCCCTCGAGCATTGCTTTGGACGTTTGTCGATGATATGGAGCCCTTCCAGCCCCGCTTTAGTCTCACCGGGATGTTTTTGCCTGCCAAGCAGCTGCGTGCCGGTAGCCCCTGGCAGTCACCACATTGGGGCTCGGCGTCCAACATGACCAACACTTGAATCATCCACTCAGATCCATACACATTTAGTGGACCATACATGACATTGGCAGTCGCTGCATCTTTCCACCAGTAATTGACCTGGGAATAACATCCTAAACCTCCATCTACTGGCGGCAAATATAATAAGGCTTCTTGGTGTCATCAGAAGGCTTTTAGACAATATCTCCGGCTGGTAGCATTGGGCTATATCATTTGCTGTGGCTGTATACGAAGAGCCAACAAAAGACTATGGCCTCACTCTCCATAAGCAAAAGAACTGGGTGGTACTGCTGCGTCATGCGAGCATGAGATATCTAGACCTAGAGTCCGGCGTTGCTGTCCTTGTTCGTCATCAAAAGACAACGCGCCGACAAGAGTTCCCGAACAAATGAATCTCGGACAGATCAAACACCTCTCGTCTTGGCGACTAGACTATTTTGGCACAAACATGGACTCCTTAATCACCTGTAGGGTGAGATGCGAGAGCCCTGTATTCTTGAAGTGGCGGCTGGACAGCGGACCGATAGCACGGTTACAGACTAGTAAACGTGGCGTATTCGGAGACAGAACCGAAATACGAACCGGTCGTAAAGTTCGGGACGACCCGTGTCTGACTAGGCCAAAGTAGGGGGTATCTGAGATTTTTGTAGGCTCCTGCGTGTCGCCCGAGCTGGAGCTTTAATGTGCCCTGGGCATATTGGCGATAATGGCAAAATGTGCGAACGTGAAAACTGAATGTGCCTTCACACAGAGCGTTACTCGTTCGAGTTCTCATCTCTCTGATATACGGATAACTCGGAAGCAGATGTACGGCGATCTTAGAAGTGAAAGGCACGCTCTGGGTGCTACGACCCGGGTGTACTAGAGACTGGCTCCATGGCTGAGGGGGCAACTCTTACCGAACAGGGCTACTGAAAATTTCCTCTGGATGGAAAGGAACTGATGAACCAAAACAAAGTGGTTCGCGTGACAGGTGGGCCTCCCCTACAAGCGCGCCTGAAGTTCGGACAACGTCCCATTTGGGGTGTTTACCATCTGAAGAAGCTGCTGTCGCGGGCACAGACGCTAACGTCTGTTCGTGACTTCATCCTATTTTAACTAGAGACGCTATGCTGCGTGAAAAAGCATCCTGAACACTCGGTAAACATAATTGAAGGAATTAGAGCGTTAAAACTGCACACGAAAGGTCTTCAAGGTGAGATCATGCCCAAAGGGAATCTCACCACCTAGGCCGCTTTAGTGTGGATAATGAACCTGTAATAGCGCTACGTCTTAGTTTTCGACGGTCTAACTCGGTGCGCACGATACTAGTACCGTCTCTTAGTCGGGACGGGAAGCGTATTCGTACCTCGGGGTCGTCTCCAGTTGACGAAAGTTCTGATGCACCCATCACCAGTGACCCCCACCTTAATGCCAAAGCCATGAATACGGGAATGTTTGCGTGGCCATAGTTTCGTCTGCTTGGTCGCGGAGTACAAAATTACCATTGAGCTTCGGGGGCTTTTGTGGGTGACGAGTTAGGCGTTGCGCCCACGGAATGGGCCCAGTTATGCTAGTCTGCGACTCACTGGAATTCATTGCATTGAAATCATGTACCTGCCGGTGTGACAAGAAGGCATTATTCGAGATCTCATGATCATGAAGGCCGATCAAACACGAGGTCATTGTCTTTTCTTGATCTTGCGAAGACTAATGGATGACAGTATGCCACGGAGCCTTTCATGTAAGCTATTATACTCAAGAAGATGTCTTTGACCACAGTGATGTCGATTGATGAAAGAAAGCCGAGCACGAGTCCTGAATTCAAGCGGGCTGTAGATAATAATAATGGTAAATTTGAGAATTTAACAGCGCCCCTTATCCCAGCGTTTCCTGTCAGAGTCTCGGGCGAGCCTAGAAGATACTAGAAGAAATGTGGGAGGAAAGAAGGATCAGACGATCGGGTCAATTCGTGTCGATGGAACCCCCATCATTCAATTCTTGGTTCGGTTCATGTTCCCATACCAAGATACTTGATGGATGACAATACCGAAAAATGTAGTAAGATGTATCAATTGTCCAGGAGGCCGAGTCGCCCGTGACCCGTGCGGCCACTAGAGAGTCAGTCTCTTTGAACATGAAACCCTACAGAAGACCATGACGGAGATCGTGTTCGTCTCTGGGACGTTCTTGGCACTACCGGGATGCCGTCCATGAATCCGTGGCCCGCCTCAACATCCACGTTATTGAAGGGGCATTGGGACTGGGATGACGAGGTTCAAATGTGAACATGATATGGAGCTACCTAGTGCGTTTCTCGAACCGAAGCCTGGGCAACCGAAGTTCCGATGCCCTCGGGATGACTCCTTCAAAACCTCTCCTACATGGATGCGGTTGGCTATGTCTACAGGCTAGGTACGAAGGCGCGACTCTCGTTCTAATCCGGTGCATCCCGAGCTCTGTGCTCTGCGTCTACACGATCTTACAAAAGAAGCCCCAATTTACGCCATACATCATCATCTTACGCACCGAATAGTAAGGCCACAATATGAGACGAACAATATAGATCTATGTTTTAAGCTGAATCAGAGGTAGGCTTTAGGTATGACAATGGATTTGCGTGTGGTTCACCAGGGCTGGGGAAAATCAAAGTAGATGCCTGGTGCCCTAAGACTGGACTCCAGGGGGAGAGGGTCGCCAGTGACAGAACCCACTCAAGGATACGCACCTTCACTGCCATACTACGCGTCCCCAAAAGTATCCAATGTCAATGGAAGGAAGGTACGTACAGCGACCCCAAACTATT